ATTTCATATACTCGTTCAATGTTGGCACCCCCAATTCTCACTTGAAGTTCATTATGTGGTCTACGGTTCTCAATTACCATATATTTAGTTTTCTCTAAATTCAAAGATAGTAAATTATTATCACACCATTTCTTTATCTTCCCAAATTCCTCTGAAACCCTTACAGAGAGTTGCTGTAAGTTTTCATCTGATGCCCAAATGGTAGTATCATCAGCAAACAAAACCATTTTAACAGTTTCAGAAACCTTACATATATCATTGATGTATAATATAAATAGTTTAGGTCCCAAAACAGAACCCTGAGGCACTCCACATACAATATCCAGCTCACTCGATTGGTATTCACCCAACTTCACAAATTGACGCCTCTGTGTCAAATAACTTTTAATCAATTTCAGAACCATTCTTCTGATCCCATATTTTTCTAACTTGTCCATTACTAATTCATGATTGATTGTGTCAAATGCTTTTTTTAGGTCAATAAATATCCCCATCGTGTATTTCTTCTCATCCATAGCACTTGTAATGTCCTCCATCAGGTCGGTAATGGCCAGAGATGTCGATCGGTTCGACCTAAAACCGTATTGGCAATCAGAGAGGATTTTATGTTTGTCAATAAATGTATCTAATCTGTTATTAAAGAGTTTTTCCAGAATTTTTGACAATTGTGACAACAGAGAAACCGGTCTATAATTTGTGAAGTTGTGCTTATCACCAGATTTATACAGTGGAATAACCTTTGCTATTTTCATATTATTGGGGAACTGCCCAAGTCGAAATGACATGTTAAAAATATGGGTTAATGGTTTGCATATCCCCTCAATCACCCATTTAACAGTTGTCATAGTTATACCATCACTATCACTAGATGTTTTGTTACCACATTTATTCACTATCTCTATAATTTCCTTTTCAACTATGGGCTTCAAAAACATAGAACTCATGTTCCTTTCGATTGTATTATTATTTATAGTGACGGATGTATCATCTGTACAAATGCTTCTTGCTAAACCAGGACCAACATTCACAAAGAACCTATTAAACTTATCAACTACATCCTCAAATCTATTGACCGGTGTGTCATTATCCATAAAATATTAAGGGTAGTTACTCATGCTGGTACTGTTTCTAATCAGTTTATTTAATATATTCCAAGTACCTCTCATGTTATTTTTATTATCCTCTAATACTTTAGAGTAATATAGTTTCTTACATCTCCTCAAAATCTCAATTAATTTGTTCTTATATGACTTATATTTTTCTTCCGCCTTCTTTGATCTGTCCTTTATGAATTCCTTATATAACGCATTCTTCTTTTTACATGCATTCTGTAATCCCTTACTCATCCACGGTTTCCCACTGTAATTCCTTTTGTTTTTATACTGCTTACGAGGACAGTTCCTGTCATATACTTTCTTAAATATATTTAAAAATTGTTCATATGCTTTGTCGAAGTCTTCCTCTCTGTAAACTGCTTTCCAGTCCTGCCCCCCTAAGTCCTCCTTAAGCCTCCTTACAGCTTGTTCATTAATCACCCTCCTATAGAACAGATTTGTTTTTGGCCTCTCTTTTCTAAAATGGCACAAACTGCTCCTTCAAACAAATATTACTAATCCAAAACTTAGTGTCTGTATTTGAAAGGAAGCTGTACCACGCCTGAACCAAAAGCTAAAACCATTCGCAGTGTAAAGAAAAGATGATGAAACTAATGACATATCCTGTGTAAATAAGTTGCTACATCCTGTGGTGTGATCATGATCATTTTTAGCACTGTGGAAAATTGGCACTAAGTGTTTTTTTTTTCTCACTTTATGCTGAAAATGTGCATTTCCCAGACCTCTTGTCATTAAGGGTTCATTACAATTATCTGAAAAATCTAACATTGCTGGAGCTCAAGCAGCTTCTTCTGTAATTTCCAAAAGGCAACATTTTTAAATATCATTTTGATGAAAAAGTTTATTGTAGCATTCAAAGTCACCCAGTTCCTCCAAGATGGTGACCCCAAATTTGACCTGACCTCTACTGGTGGTGACAGCAGCGCTGCCTGGATGAAGATGAACTATTGCTGAGAGCTGATTACACCCGCAAATCTGTCGTCATCCTCACCTGAAAGATGAGAGGCAGATGCAGGAAGAGAGAGAGAGACAGAAATAAGTGGTTTGTGACGACGATGACGATGATGATGGAGGACAGAGGAGAAGAGATCACAGAGAGTTTGCTGGTCCGTATTTATCCTCACCTGAGCGGCCGTTGCACATCCAGTCACCCCTGGCAGAAGTCCACAGCCAAACACCAGAGGGAGAAAGGTCAGCCAGAGGCCATGGGGTCCCACCGCAGGGCAAAGCTCTTCTCAACCTCTGTACACACACACACACACACACACACTATTCCCATTCTCATTCCACATGCCCCCTTAACCTCACTATTAAAACACAGGAGCAAATCTCCCGATTGGTCACAGCGACTCAGAAACAAATGACGCCAAATGCCTGACTTCTGCATGGCCTTTTCTACAGGGAGGCGGAGGGGGGGCTGCAGTATTTTACTTGTGCAAATACATTCTGATATTGGAAACGTAACAGTCCGTGTGATTTTGAAGTAAAGATATACATTTGAGTCACAGGCCACATGTCAATCACAGCTGCAAGAAGAATGTGTGCGGCATACAAGGCGCTCAACTAAATGAGAAGAGCGAGCTATGAAGAAATAGCACCTGGTGAACTTTTGGCATAGTCAAACTGATAAAAATGTGGTAGAATGTGTCCCTGGATCCAATGAATGTCCAGCATCTGCATAAGCATTGGAATAAAATAAAATGATCCTTTTTAAGTTAAATCTCTGCTAAGAAGTAAAGTCCTCATGTTCACACAGTCTGACTTGTTGTCACCGTGATGCAGCACTGGGGTCAAAGTCTATGTTGTTATCATGGTGAATTTTCATGGTCTATTCTACTTTTTGCTGTGGGTTAGTCACCATTTGTTTTACTGTTTATCTTCCCAGTCAGCTCTAATCCACTTCAAACTGCCCCAACCTGAATGAAGGATTAACGCGGTTCAGGTGAACTCGCCTGCACGCACACAGGAATAAAACACCATGAAAACTGAGGCAGCTCTGACGACCGCTGGTGTGTGCGCTCTCATTTGTACATTAATGTGCAAAGACATCAGTTATGAATTCCTGAAACAAGGCATTTTATTTAGTTTTCTGTGTGAGGTGGGAGCTGATTTCGTGGACAGGGATGCATGGACGACCTCAGAAGGATTTGTTCAGAAGTTACTTTTAACTAACTCAGTCAGTAGCAGAAGACTGAGACTTAGATTAGCCTTAGGAGGGTAAATATAAATATAATCAAAATCTGAATTTAAAACATCAAACTCATCCTGTTTTTTCAGAATATATTGTTTAAAGTGAATCTTTAAAAACCTGGCAGCCTTTAAAAGCCACTGCCCTTCACTACAGCCTCTCACAACAATACTAGTTGAGCAGTAGCTGTAAAAACAAAGCTAACATATTTTCTCCTGCCTGCTACATCACACTGTTTCTCTTTGTAGCTCCGAGACCCTTTGGTGGGCACTGGAAATAAACTGTCACTGAATCTGAGGAAGCACCAGCCACTCTGCAGTTCAGGCAGTGCTCGAAACCAACACACTTCCCTTTATTTACCCAGCTGAACACTTGATGAATTTCTCAGCGGTAGAGGGGATACGTAGAGCAACATACAGTGGTAGCTACTACAGCTAAAACGCTAATGGTTTATCTGAGATTTGTTGTTTTTAAGCTGTAGCTGGCTGAGATGGGACTGTGTTTAACTTTAATGAGCTTAAAGATTAATACTCTCACAGGTTGCAGCATTTTTCATGACTTCGCTGACATATAGTGAATAAACAGTTTAATCTTTAGACAAAGAGAAATGCCTAAATGATGCAGTTTCCAGATGAGCTCTTGCTTCATGCATCATATAGAGTATTGCACGTCAGTCGGTGTGTACTCGTGTGACAAAGGCCCCTCAGCTGATGGCGCCTGTGCGGCCTGTCCTCTGTGACCCTGCCACTCGATTTGTTCCTCCATCTCCACTGTTTATTTCTGCGCTTCCTGTTTGTGCTCATCTGACCGTATGAGCCGTCCCTGTGAAAAAATAAACGGGTAACTGATAGAAATGGCAGGGTGTGGCTGGTTGTGGTTGTGGTGGGTTCATGATCGCACAGCACAGACAACATAGCTCTGGACCACGGCGCTAACATGTCAACAGAGATTAAACTAGTTTATTATTTTCAAAGAGGAAAAAAATTACGAAACAAAAAAGCAGTCATATTTTACACTAGTGATTATTATTAAATTTTTACAACCATTCAGTCTGCATAACATAAAGAAATAATTCTACATCTTTGTTTCTTTCGTATTTTTGGTACTCTGATTTATACATACAAATAACAAATACAGGAACTTTTTTCACAATGCATATAATCTGTGGGCAGGAACAAATGCTTTCAGGTGATCAAGTGTGTGCATGTGTGTGTGTGTGTGTGTGTGTGTGTGTGTGTGTGTGTGTGTCTGTATACGTGTGCGCATCAACACAAACCAATTGCCCGAGACCTATAGCACATCCAAAATAAAAAAGGAGAGAGGCGCCTGCGGCCGGAGCCGCTGACTCTCTGCAAACTTAATGCAACACAATTCACGCAGGCGAGATCCGAGGCCTGCCCTTTCTCCAAAGTCTCTCTTGTCTTCTCAACTCCTCCTCCCTTCCTTTCTTTCTTTCCTCTGGGAGGCGTCCTCTTCTCACTCCTCTGGCAATAAGTCTCTCCACCTGCCGCGACTCGTACCCTTCTCGTCGGTAGCTGCCCAAGGGCATGTTTCCTTTTTTCTTATTTAATTAAAAAGTCTTCATTAAATGTACTGTATTTCATACAATTTGTACAAATATATTCAACGTCAATCTCTCCTCATCTTCAGCAAGAAGAAGAAGAAGGCGTGCAGGGGGTTCCTGTTACACAGGCGCAAGGTAAAGAGAGGCAGGCTGGGAAATTAAGGGAGATGGCATTGATACCGCTTTTAGGTCTGTTTTTGTGATGTTTGTGTGTGGGAAAATGGCTCTTTGTACACAAATGGAGCTCCTTATCATGTGGATCAGCTGGGGGGGAAAATGTTCTCTCTCCCTGCTCAGAGGGAAAAAAAATCTTCCCCCCTGGAGGTCAGTGTGCCACAGTCATGTCTGCAAAGCATTCACATCACAGAGGTGCACTTAGATTTTATAAAAAATAAGATACAACTGATGACACCTGCCGTTCCTGCACTGCGGCTTGGTGATGAGACAGAGGAGCTTAGTGCGGGCTGAGGAGCAGTTTATTTGTCTTTTAGGTTATGAGAGCAGGTCAGCAGAGGTACCGAAGGGTGGTGGCGAGGCCCAGGTTTAGGGGTGGTGCAGCGCAGGGAGCTCTAACCCATGGCTGTGACCATACTGGAGGGATGGTGTGGGGCGAATGGGAGGCTCGAGGAGGGATGCATTGGTGTGGGGGTGGTCAGCATGTGGCTGGAGTGTGAGAACGGAGGGAAGGATGACATGTGGCGGGACAGGGCGGCCGGGCTGAAGGAACTGCTCTTGTCCATCAGGCTCTTGGAGAAGTCCTCCATGTTGTCTTGGGACTTTTTGCTCTTCTTGGACTTGCTGGACATCTTCCTGTTCCTGGTCTGGATGCCTTCCTTCTTCATGGTCAGAGGTCGGTTGATCTGCTCTCAAAAGGAGACAGAGAAAACGGCAGATTAGCATTTTGTCACAAAGAACTCAGCATTTTGTTTGCATGCAAGATGAACATCATACAAGCGGAAATTTCAAAATAAAGGCGTCCACAGTTATGGTTGCGTTTAAATGACAGTAAAAAAACTGAAGTGAGAGGTGTCACCATGTTTTAAAAGAAATTAGAAAAATGTGGCCCGCACTAAGCTTTTTAGTTTTTTAGAGGTAGTTTGGGGGTTTTGGGGGAGACAGTGATGAAAATGGATTCACAATACAGGGCGAATCTGTGTGTGTGTGTGTGTGTTGAGCTGGATTTAAATGTTGATTTGTTTAAGCTGGACTGTATCTGAGGCTGTGGCCATGCCAGAAAGAAACAGAGAAAAAGAAAAGATGGATGGGGGGGCAGAGTGTGTACAGAACAGACGGAGAAGGCTCTGGCAATTGCCATGACAACCGCCAGCCAAGTCCTCCTCTCCACTCTCCTCCTCAACCGCGTGGCCGTATCCTGGCCAAAATGGCCCCAGCTGCCATATTCCAAGATAGGTTTAGCTGGGAATGGAAGCTGGATGATGGAATTCCGGCTGTGGGCAGGATTATGAGGGGAGGTGGATGAGGCCGACTGAGTTCCTGATCTTTCTGAGTGGGGAAATGGGAACAAGGATTTCTTCGTCACTCGCTCACCCTGCCCGAGACGATGTGATTTTTTGCTGACTCTTTAAGCAGAATGGCCTTGATGATTAGCGGAGGGCAGAGAGCTGTGCCCCCTCCCCCCAGTGATGTGGTTTCACTCTCTAAGATCTGGCCCCATACTGGGGGACTTTCTCTCTTTGTCTGCTCTGAAGCGTGCTACGCCCATGAAGCTGGTCAGGCCTTTGATGCCGAGACGTGTACTGTCTCAGAGAGGAAGCCTCGGGCCTCCGGCCTGCATTCGGCCGCCGCCCCGGCACATCAAACAAAAGCAAAGCCAAATTGTTTGAGTCAATGACCACCACATGCACAGAGCAGCTGCTCACATCCTCTCTCCCAAAAGCAGCGGCAGCTAACCACCTGAAACCTCAGCCCCCATACAGAGGTGTCAAAGCTGAGCACACGCTACATCACTCAGATACAAAGACGAGAGACGTCTTTCACACGTGGTGAGAAAACCCCTGATTACTAAAGCAAGTCTGTGTTTTGGGTATTAACACAACCTCATGTTTGTGGCAACTTTTCTGTTTTCACAAGCTTCTTATCAAAGCCAAAGCTTAGGGGACAACAGACTGGATGATCAGGTGTTCTGGGACAGTCCACACACACCAGGAGCACATGCAGGCCCCAACACAAGTCGGGATTTACCAAAATAAACTCATTTCACACTTAAAGTCAGGGTCAGTTCAAATGCTAATATGTGACTGGGAAATATTCTTCTTCTCTCCTTTCACCCTTGGTCTAGGCGCTTAACTATCTGCCAACAGCATCATGGAAAATGATTTAACAGGGTGGGCCTGCATGGCAAGCGGGACACTCTTCACCTTACACACAGGACTATGTGATATGGGCAGCCTTTATCAGCTGTCAGTGAGAGGGGAAAATATTACCTACATGTGGCCTGGGAGCAGTTAGCCTGGTTAATATTATTATTATTATTATTACAATGGCCGTTTGATTAAAAGTGACAGCTTTGTGAGCAGCAGAGGAGAGAGAGGGAGAGATAAACGAGTCCCTGGGGTTTGCAGATTGAGGATGTGAAACCATGTGGTAAGGCACTAACCAACCCAAAACGAATCAGACGGATTGATGGTCAGAGGGGGGACTTCAAGTCCCTGGCGCGCTAGGAACCAAAAGGCTGCAAGTAAGAGAAAGAATTAATCGAATTTTAATTAAGCTTGCTCTTTAATACTCCAAAGCAAGGCGGCTGTGGGCTTAGTTCACTTATACATTTTAGATTCGCACTTACTGCCAATAAATCATATTAATTCCACAGTATTTGTTATCGCCATGCCCCGGAAATTCTCTGCAGGGACAAGTCAGATAAAATATTCAGAGGAGGAGGGAAGGTGCCCAGCAGGACGTGAGGAGACAGACATGAGGAGGCCAGCGAGGATGAAGCTGCACAAATAAATATGCAAGAGCAGCCCTGATGGCTCAGTGAGATATCCTGTTCAGGTTTATTACTTACATTGTGCAGTTTAAAGTACAGGCCGCAGGCGTTGCACACCGGGTCCCCGTTGGCGTTTCTCCGCCACAGCGTCGTCGTCGTGGTTTGACAGTTCGCACATGACGTGCCTGCGCGTCTGGCTGCGGACTGCACAACACACAGAGGCCACAAATCGCCACATGAATAACCCAGTCAACGTGAAGCTTTATTCTGACACTTTTAACACCACGATCCAGGGCTGCCGCTCCTGTAGGAGCCGGGTTTTACCAGATCCTCATTCGGGAACTTTGACTTTGGTTTGGAGACATCTCACTGTGGGATTTTAAAATGCTTCGTGACCAATTCGGTGCTGGAGGATTCCGGCAGCCCTGTGTTCATGGCAGCCTAGCTGGCTACATCGCTGTCAATACAATCCGCACAAGGCAATTGTATTTATTTCACTAGACATGAAATGCATTCTTTCGTTTCACTCATGTAAAAACCACGAAAAACGGCTGAAACATGGAAGTCAGTAGAAGGCTTTATTTGGCCTCCATGTACTGTACATTGTCAGCCTCCAACCATACGAATTCTCTGCGAGCTGAAATGTTTCAAATCAAGACAGAAAAGCCCAAAACAGAGCTGCTTTCACTCAGGCTAAAAATAGCGCCACAGAGCGCATACCTCCTGGAGAATAAATGTTTACAGAAGACATAAAAGCAACGGAGAGCTATTGGGTCTGATTAAATTTACCCTCAGCGTGCGTGTTTGTGCCACGCACACTCGTGGCGCTAAACAACTGGAATGAAAAGAAAGGGCCTGGATGTGTCCATTTGGTGCTGGTTAAGGTCTCACACAGGAGTCGGCTTTGCAGGTTGTATTTAGGGATTAATTTTTATACAAGGAGAACAAGAAGGACAGAAAGTCTTAATATGTGATGCAGTGACATGAAGCAATAGTGCAGCAGGATTTTAAACAAGCTAAAGTGTGCGTGTTTCTGGCTGGCCCTGACTTCATCCTGACACACAGTCAGTCTCCTGCCTTCGTCACAGCCCAGTCCTCTGCACTGCCTTGACATTGATGTTATAATCTCTAAAACAATCAATAAACAGGTGACCGCAAAGGACACACTAACGTACACGACTACATTATCTCTGGAAGGAATTTCCAATTACTCACAGGAGGCGGCCTCAGACCCTGCTACTGTGTGCGGGGAATAAGCAATGAGGCGGTCGGAATGACGCCTGTTCTGTCTAATAAATCCATTTATTAGGACCTTTCTTCATCTTCACTTTTATTGTGCTGAACCACAGTCCTCTGACTTTTTAACTCCCTCTTTGAAAATGACGTCAGTGGTAATAATCAGCAACATTTTATATGATAATATAAATGTTCCAGATATTATCTGGTCGAAGTGATGATCAGATCCTCCTGTGATGTCACTTTCTGACCTCTAAATAAGATTCTTTCCATTTTTCTTCATCTCTGACCCAAGGTATAAGGTCAAATGTCGCGTGGCAATTACCCATACACGACCATCCCCATGTTTTTACGCAAAGATTAAAACACTAAACAATCTCAAGTCGTGACTCTGTGGTGACCTGGCCCGGTCTGTGCCTTTATGTTTTGACTGGGGAAGCGGACTGTGTTGTTTAAAGCGACTTATCTGCGCTGCTCAGACATCCGGCAGCCCTTTCCTGGCCAGTCGGGTTTTCACATTAGAGGCGAGGTGCAGGAGAGAGGAGGCCCAGAGCGGGACAGGACTGGACAGCCAGCTTTGCCTCGAAAGATGTTCTCCCTTTTTTTATGAGAAGGCAGGGGGACTCCTCTAAAGCTCATAAAAGATGCAGCTCTGATGATGATGGAATGATTTCCCCTGAAATAGCTGCAAAAAATAGCTCTACCCGAAGCAATAAGGACTGGGAAACAGCCCGGTTGGCGGGCTGTTTCCCAGTCCCATCAGCCTGAACACTGAGATGTTAAAACGCGGCTTATATGATAGAGCACGGTGGGCTTTCATGGACGCAGGCCTGCAGCCAACGAGCTACGGCGGAAGCGCTTTTGTCTTTAGCTGCATCTCTAAAATACACATGGGGCCTCCTAACAGAAAACTAGGTGAGTCAGTGACAATTTGGGCAAATAAAAAAATAGCATCGCCATTGCATTTAAAAAAAAACTGTGCAGTAATATCTGAAAGCAGAGACCTGCACTTGTCGAGTCAATTTCCTGCAGCTAATAGGCCTACTTCTTCCTGGATAGGGGAAAAACAGAGAGAGAGACGGAAATGTCATCAATAGAGAAATGTGGTGGAGACGTACCAGCCGCCGCTTGGGTTTGATGAGAGGGCGATTCTGCCCGTTCATCTTGTGATAGAGTCCGCAAGCGTTACACAGATAGTGGCCCGTACCGTCCCGCCTCCACAGAGGAGTCGACGTGGCCCCGCAGTTCACACACTCTCTACCTTCTGCAAGAAGCAACGCACAAAAACATACACACACACACACACACACACAACATGGAGACAGTGCCCGGGTCAGTTGGTCCTTCAAAATTAAGAGTAATTCTTGTTACATGTAATTTATTCTGGCAGCAGAACATGTCAATGAAATGAGAGGAAATATTAACATTTTTTTAAAACATGCAAAATGCAAATACACGCTGTCAATACAACACCAGTCAACAATAACAATACATTTGTAAATATATATGTTAGTCATTCATTCTGCTGCAGCAGATATATTTAGAACACAGGTGGATTAAACACGTTAGTGGTAAATACAGCAGCTGTGTTAAGGTCCAGAAGCAGAAATCATTCAAATAATCCACCAAATCTTTCAACTCCGGTCCGTGAACAGGATTATCAGACTAAGTATAAGGATTGCAGGGGGTGCTGAGGTTTGATTGGCACTTCTCTAGTGACACCGACAGGTGAGACGCACACTGACACTTTGATTACAGCAGCTACAGAGGGGCCTGAAACTGAAACAAGGGAGCTGCAGTCACCGTCAGATTATTTGAAAGCAGAGACTCACACAGGGCCTTTGTGCGACGCCGAGAGCTTTTGCATTTCATGCAGCCGCACTTCCCCTTTTTCGCGCTGCAAAAACACACACGGCCCGAGCTGTTCACAAAGACGGAGAGGTGCGGCAGTCCGGGGCACACCGCGTTTATATCTGACAGACATGCACGCTCAGTGTGTCTTTCTTTCTTCTTTCTTTTTGCTTTGGCAGCCGAAATCAAACAGGAACTATGTCGACCAATGCATACGACTTGAGAAAACAGGTCTGTGCAGCGCAGGTTCTGTGTTGCACAAGGTGTTCGGTCTAGAAAAGCGCCAGACGTTTACATAACGCACGCTGCACTGACAGCCTCATTAGAATGAAGATTCTCTTCAGATCGGGAATTATCTTTAAATGCACATTATCCTTAAATTAAAATCTTTCTTTGCACTAACGGCCCTGTGTATGATGCTGAATAATCTCGATGATATGCATCAACTAATCCACTGGTTTCTATATCCCATCAGAGCCGCTGATATTAATCTCATTACAGAAAACTGCTTTTCAGCTGCGCCGCAATAACCTTTAAACTAATTACTCTCCTTACAATTTGGAAACGTCTCCCCTCACTCTGTCTTTCTCTCCGCTGCCTCGGTGGTTCGCGCACTCCGCGGCGGTTCACCCGCTTTTTCCCTGTGAATGAACGAGCAGCATCCGGAGCTGTGCCGCTGGGTAAACAGTTCAACTGTGGCGTGCGCTGGTCTGACAGTAATGGGATTATCTTAAAAATATAAACGGGGCGACAGAGCCCAGAGAGCTGGCTTCCCCTCTGTCTCTATCCCCCTCTCTGTTTATAAAGAGGAAGATGGAAAAATGACCTAAATTAACCTGCGCATTCAACTCGGAACCCGTCTGCGTCACGACGGTTTTATGTTGGTAAGAAAATGGTGTGTATTTATTTTAAATAATAATAATAATAATACACTAATTTAAAAATTATTATTATTATTATTATTATTAAATGATGTGGATTAAAGAAAGAGGTTTGAGGCACGTTTAGGCGCCTGTTGACCCGTGTGGCCTTCGGCCCAAAGAGGTGGCTTGTTGATGTGAGGGATGACTGATCATGAGCTTTTTGGGCTTTGTGTGTGTCTCTCTGTGTGTGTGTGTGTATATGAGATTAAACATGGCTGCTCATTAAGGCTGCAAATCTGGGGAATAATGTTAGATCAAAAGGGAATGTAATAAAGCGCACGCCTACCTGAACAGGACCTTGTTTTTGGTCTTGTTTTGGAACCATAACTAGAAGATGACCCACCTATCAGGCTACTTGGTGGGAAGAGGCCTGGGCCGTATTCGGGGACATAGGGTGGGTATGTGGCGATGGGGTGGTGGGCAGAGGATGACCCTGCGCCGATTGATGCCACACTCCGGCTGTGAGCTGACTCCAGTTTCATACTCTCGGCCAGGGTCACCTGGTACTTTATGCACTCTTTATCCTCCTGCCGCCCGGAGCTGCTGGAGCCCGGGGTGGATATGCCCGGGTCCGGGGACACGTCTTTTGGAGGGGTCGGAGGAAACGTGAAGAGGTGCGGACTGGAGTGACCAGTAGACAAGGAGGAGGAGGAGGAGGCCGGGGGGTAGACGGACAGGCTGGCCGGGGAGCCGTGGTGCAGGGGGTTCTTGGGGAAGGGGCTCAGGTTCCAGGGGGAAGTGCTGTGGTGAGGCGCGATGCCTTTGCTCCCCTCCAGCCAGGGCAGAGAGCCGTGCAGTAATGAGGGACGGCACACCTGGCTACCTGAGGCAGCACAGAAACACAAACAGCATCACAACCTGATCTCAGACCGGAAAACAATAAATACACATTAAGTCCGTTGTCGAGCTTTAGGCCTGAAACACCTTTACGCACGGATTAACAGACACATTTTTACATTTCTAATTGTCCTCCAGCGGTCAGTTCAAAATCCTCTCCATCTCTCTGTTGACTTGTTAAAATCGTCTGACCCCCGCCTAGTTTTCACTGTGGCCTTACGTGTGTATAATTGTAGCCTTTACCGTTTCCACTGAACAGGTCACATCAGCGGAATACTGGTAAGTCATAAGCCTAAAAGGAAACTCCACTGTGATTGACTGTTCAGGAAGTTAAAGGCTACAATTTACGAAACTCCACAGGTGCCGCATTCTGATAAATAACAGGTTGTAAACAAATGAAAATAAAGAGAAGTGACCACATACTACCAAAATAGTCCAGGTGCATGTGTGACCTATGCGTCAACACATTTTATGATTCAATCCGTAGCAGAGCACTCAGTTGATCCAGAAACAAATTACGCAAAAACCTTTTTGACATATGAGTCAGCTGAATGACATTTTGTGTTTGTAAAGTTTAGACGGGAACAGGGTGTGATTTAAGCAGTAGCCTGCACAGAAACCAAAGACAACCTGGAGGTAAACCATACATATTCACGGCCTAGTTTCACAACACTTAAGCTCTATATGGGGTTTGAGACCGTCAGCCCAGGCCAAAAGCGAAACTTGGTCTGGATCACAGACAGATCATGCAAATAATTCCAAACTCAGCCACAGTAATTGAGTCTGAGGTGTAGGGATAAATTACGCACAGAGATTTAAACAGGATAGAGTTCACATTATTAAATAAAAGGCCTAAAGAGGCCGTTTACTTACTGTGCGGAGGAGGAGGGTACCTCGGGACGGCTCGGACAGAGTTTCCATAGTACGGGGAGACGTGGTTCCCCTGTCCATCGATATTAAAGAGTACATCCACATCGTCAGCGAGGGGATACTGCGAAGGGTCCATGTATGAGTGGCCGAGGCCCGGGTGATGTGAGCCGGGATGCTGCTCGTTCAGCACCGTGTGATGATGGCTCATCCATCGTGGCTGATCCGCACTTACTTCCATTGCTTTGCTTTTTTCTTTACCAAATGTTCATGCACGCCGTAAAACGGTACGAGTCACAAGATAAGAAATAGTCTGTCCCAAATCCGTTTTATGTTAAATCCACAGGTTCCGCGCTCGCTTCCGATCACCTGGAAACACAGAAAAGAATTTATTGTCTTACTGTGTCAACTGTGTTCACATGCAGCACGACTAAAACAGGCAGGAGGCTCGAGCGAAAGTGGATTTACCCGGGTTTTTAAAAAACATATTTAAACACGAAACATACCCCGCATTACAAATGCAACAAATGTGTTGTCACATAAATACGTCCAAAATGGAATCCAGTCCCCCGCACAGTTCCTGAACTTCTTCCTCTGAGTCCGGCTCAACAAGTAGTGGAGGTTTGTACGCGCGCAGGACTTATTTGCATCGGATGGCCTGGCTGCACACTGACCAGCACCAGCAAGTTTGACTCACTGATCAAATCTGTGCTTGTGCGCAGTTGTAACCCTCTCCATTAACTCCGCTCC